AATTTTTTTTCGTGCTTCAGTTTTATTGGCTCTGGCATGTTAACACATAATATAGATTAAAAAAAACTTTAAACCGTTTTGGAGCAATATTAAAAAATTCGGTTTTATTTTGCAACTTTAACCCCGTAACTTTTTTTGGGTGCACTTTTGCATATAGGTAAGTTAGACCGAATCGACATTTCATCCCCTAAAATCGTGGTATAGTCGACCAATCTTTGTGTCACAACTTTGTGTATTAGGACTACATAAATACAAGTTTGATAAAGTCGTTTTTTTTGCTTAATTTAGACATTATCATCATCATCATCATCCAGCCCCATTTTCACATCCATTGTTGGATATAGGCCTCCTCCAAACGTCTCCAGTTCTCTCTATCTCTAGCTGCTGCAATCCAGTTTGTTTCTATTCTCCTTAGGTCGTCGGTCCATCGGGTGGGTGGTCTGCCTCGACTTCGCTTATCGGCTCTTGGTCTCCACTCCAATAATCTATTCGTCCACCTTCCGTCTTCCATTCTAGCAACTTGTCCAGCCCACCTCCACTTTTGTTTATTGATTCGCAGTATAATATCGTCTACGCCAGTTCGCCAGCGTATCTCCTCATTTCTCCCGCGATATTTCAAGGTCAGGCCCAGCATTGATCTCTCCATTCGCCTTTGTGTTACCCTCAGTTTTTCGGCAGTTGCTTTCGTTAAAGTTAGGATCTCTGCTCCGTAGGTCAAGACTGGTAAGATGCATTGGTTAAATGCCTTCCTTTTCAGGGAATTGGGATATTTGTTTTAAAAATGTCTCTCATCCTTCCATATGCCGTCCATCCCAACATTGGTCATCATTTTGGTTTTCTCGAAATTTATCTCCAGCCCAATTTCTTGTAGTATGTCATTCAGTTCTTGGAGCATGTCTTTGATCTCTCCCAGATTATCTGACAGAAGCACGATATCGTCAGCAAAACGTAGATAGTTTAATCTTTCTCCATCTATGGATATTCCTTTCTGTTGCCATGTTAGTCTTTTAAATGCATACTCAAGAACGGTAATGAACAGATTTGGTGACACGGTATCACCTTACCTGACTCCCCTTTTTATCTTTATTTTATTAGTTGCAGAATGTAGACTTATGGTTATTGTGGCATTTTCATATATATTTTTAACTATTTTACAATATCTGTGGTCGACCCTGCAATCTTGTAGTGCTCTTAAGATGGACGGTAGTTTCACTGTATCAAACGCCTTTTTAAAGTCTACAAATATCAATGCCAAGGGACGGTTATATTCGTTAGTTTTTTCTATCAGGGTGATCGTTTGTGCCGTATTTAGGGCGGAAACCGTCTTGTTCCCGAGGTTGGTAAAAATCCAGCTTTGTCTCTAGTCTGTTAGTTATTATTCGGGTGTATAATTTATAAAGATGGTTAAGGAGACTGATTGGTCTGTATCTTTCCAGGTCTGCTATATCTCCCTTCTTGTGTAAGAGTACAGTTATTGAATTATTCCACTTTGTTGGGATATTTTGATTCCATAGGCATAGATTAAAGAGCTTTTGAATTTTGGCTATCAGTACTGAGCCTCCTATCTTTATCGCTTCCGTGACGACACCGTCCTCCCCCGGAGCTTTGTTATTCTTGATCTTTTTTAGAGCCTTGTAAATTTCGTCCAAGGAGATTTCTGGGATATCTTCGGAACCCTGATTTTGAACCTTCCTCTGCTGATATTCAACTATATCTAGAGTCGATTGGTTGCTATATAATGTCTCATAGAATGATTCCACAATTTGTAACAAATGTTCTCTGTTTGATGTGATGTTGCCATTTCTATCCTTGAGTTTGACTATTGTTTATTTCCATTTGTGAGTTTGCGTCTCATTATTTTCATACTCTTATTTTCCTCAATGGTTTTGACGATTTTCTCATCTTTGTATTTTCTTAGGTCTTTTCTGATTTCTCTTGATACTTCCTTGTTCATTCTATTTATATCGTCGTTACTAGAGTTTTCGTCGCTTCTCAGTATTCTTCTTTGTTCCATTTTTTTCTGTGTTGTTCCAGACTAATTTTTTCTTCCTTCGCGCTTTTTGGGCAGCATTTCTTTAGAGCTTCTGTTATTGCTTCTACTATTATGTCATTTAGGATGTTAATATCATTTGTTGATGATTTTTCTTGAAGGAATTTACCGATATGATCTTCAAAATTTTGTTCGTTGTTTGGATGATGTCCATATGTTTATTTGCTTCTTTTTTATCATATTGAAATTTAGACAACGGGTATTATAATAGATACTTACTCATATTCCTTGATTTAGACATTATTCCTTATTCCTAGATATAGAAAATATATATGCTCTTCTCGAGTTAACAAATAACTGTGGTACTTCTAGCATTATTCATATATCCGCTCCGTCTCTTTGTTGGTAATTTGTAATGAGACAATTCTGTTACATTTTATATTCGACGGAACAAAAATGCATTCTTACTTTCTATATTACATTAAATAATATTCACCAAAACCTTAGCTGTTCATATATTGTTATTGCTCTGGAATTTTTAACACTTGACACATCTCTCGAGTACATTGAGTTAGAATCTATAAGCATATTAACGAGTCAGAAGGTGTGGTTGACGATCATACCAATATGGCGGTGGGATCAGGGCCAGACTCAATAATATTAAAACTACTATACAATTATGACCAGTTATTCAGAAGATTTAATCATAATCTAAAAAAGTGCAATACATTTTTAATAAACTATGATTTATTTAATCAAAATTAAAGGAGTTGTCATTGGCTAGGTAGTGAAAAATCATGTAAAAATCATGATGTACCCTAAATTCACTATCTGCGCGAGTTTAAAAAATGTAGGAAACAAATTGATTAAAACGTAGCGTAATAAATGCCACTGTTAGTGTAAGTGTGCTTAATGGAAGATGAAAATGATCATTGGCAACACGGTTACACAAATAAAGGTACCACGGTATGGGCTTCAATCTGGTGAAAGTGTCTTGGTCGGGGTTCGAGATAGCTAGACTACAAGAAATTCGGGAGTGAGGTAAATACACGTAAGAGAAGAATCTTTTGGGCACCACCCTATTTTTGAAGGAAAAGGAAAACTCAGTAAATAAGAGAATGGATAGAAAATTAGGTAAGAGCGATAACGTGAAAGATATAAAGTGACGAGAACGGAAAGAAAATAAGACAAAAACAATACGAGAAAGATGCAGATGGTTCCTAGACGGGAACAAAAAGATTAGGGAAGAGTAATTATATCCCGCTGTAAACACTAAAACTACGACATATGTACATATTATATAAATAATAATTGATACAATCAAATAACAATTTGTACCTGAAAGAGATCATATTTACAGATGCAACAGGGGCACAGAACCCAACAAGCAGAGGAAGAATATAAACAACTACGCAAAGAAGAAAAGAAAACTCACCGAAGAAAAAAGAGAGAATATATGAACAAAGAACTTCAAGAACTACAAGAACTAAGTAAATCAACAGAGATAAGAAAATTTTATCAGAAACTAAACAAAAGCAGAAAAGACTTCAAACCAAGAACATTGATGTGTAGAGATAAGAAAGGTAATATATTAACAGAACAGCAAGAGATACTAAGTAGATGGACCGAACATTTTACGGAAAAGCTTGAAGGAGATCGGAGAGAGACAAACCCTGAAATACCATTAGACCAAGCAGACAACAGAGAAAAGACTCCACCAACAATAGCCGAGATTAGAGCAGCAGTAGATAAATTAAAAAACAATAAAGCACCGGGATCGGATCAAATAACATAGGAGTTTTTGAAGGAAGAAGGAGACGCACTACAAAAAACAATACATAAATTGATAACAAAGATATGGTCAAACAAACAGCTACCAGCGGAGTGGAATAGCAGTATTATTGTACCGTTATCTAAAAAAAAAAATCAGTTAGAATGTGGAAACTACCGTGGAATCACGCTGCTGAATGCAGCATACAAAATAATGTCCATGCCAAAATCTTGTGACACATATGTAAGGGCACAAAAGAAAACGGAATATGGCGAAGAAAATACAACTGCCAGTAGGAAAAAGAACATCAGGAAGACCGAAGCTGAGATACTTAGAACAAATAGAAAATGATATAACAATCTTAAAAATAAAAAACTGTAGAAAAAAGCACGAAACAGATCAGAATGGAGAAGAATCCTGGCCAAAAAGAACAGGCCAAGACCCAAAAAGGGATTGTCGAGCCAGTGATGATGATGATGACGCTGTGAAAACTTGCCCCAAGTTTGCATGCTGTCTCGGAATATACCTTGGTTTAAAGATGAATGGATAGATTTATATTTTTTAGTATACCCATCTTACCGAATGCCGCCCTTGTTAGCCTGAAACATCTTGACATTTTTTTTCCTTGTCCAATTTAATGGGATTATTATCTCACTGACTTTTTCAATGGGTTGGTTATCTATGGAGATGTGCGTGTAAGTATCTTTATAGGTAAGTATTTATGTATTTTAATAATTTATTTGAAGTCGTATATTTTTATATGTTTGGTTTAATTCTTTTATCATTTCAGACAGATCTCCTACATTTCTGCTATGCCGTCTGCGAACCTCAGATGACTCAAGTATGAACAATTTAATATTTATTCCTTCATGTGCCACTCTAGATTTTTTAAGACATCTTCGAGTCCTAACGTTACTCATCACGACATCATGTTGGCACTCGTAGATCTATTATTGTACTACTCTTTAATAAAATAAATACAAGTTATCCAACCCAAGAAGGTTAGAAGTAATATTTGAATCTGAAAATAATTTAGAAAATTGAAATCCGTAAAAATGAATAAAACTGCTGGATCTCGGAACCTTGCATCTAAATGATTGAAATACGGCAGTCACAATGTTGAAGAAAGGTAGACCATGCTGATGCTATATGGATAAAAGGAATTAAAATAGAAATGTAAGAGAAGATGGAGTGTGATAAAGGATAGTATTGATTGGGTGTAGTAAAAAAAATATTTCTACCGATATATACCTATATTTTATTTAAATTTGTATATCTTTCACACTTTTTATTTCGAATGTAGTTCCATTCTCTAACAATAGTTTCATAAGAGAAGTTTTCCTAAAAGCTGCTCCTGCAGTATATACACCACCACTGAAACAAAAAAAAACCGTTAAAACAAACCTAAATAGTTCAAGTAAAAGTAACGACAAAAAAGTTTGTAACTAATATTTAAAAGTAAATTTAAGACCATCATTATCTTCAAAAATTAAAATGTATTTTAAATGTGACAGTTTTATGTGATTTATAATACGCCCTTCAATAAGTTATTCAGTTAGATAAGAAAAACATAATTTTATGGTTTAAAATACACTTTATTATTCAATATAGTCTCCCTGAACATCAATACACTTGTTCCAATGAGATTCCAATTCATGAATTCCATCCCTGAAGTAAGAATCTGGAAGGGCTGCAAAATACGCTTTCGTAACTGTTTTGACCTCATCAATTAATGAAAAACGCTTTCCACAAATTTCTTTAAGTATTGAAACAGATAAAAGTCGCTAGGGGCATATCTGGTGAATACAGTGGATGCTCCAATAGTTTCAACTTTAATTAATGGATTTTAGTAATTGCCAAAATGCTCGATTCACACGGTGTATTGTCCTTGTGAAAAAAGATCCTGTTTCTTCTGCAAACCGGGTCTTTTTGCATAAAATAATCCACAACTAAAATTCCTTTCGCATTTCAAAAACTGATGTTAACAACTTCTGGACACGAACTCCTCGTTTTGGAGAGCACACACGAATCCCATGAAGGCCACATTTTGTTCTTTTTTTTTTCTTCCAGTAAACCAAATATATTTAATTGGTAGTTATTTAGTCTGTTCTTCGTGAAAATTAGTCATACATTGTGGAACTGAACAGTACCAGAAAGTATAAATCTGTCATTTAATATTATTTACTATTTTTAATGCTAATTAATCACAATCTAGGATGAAAATTATTTTGACGTTTTGAATCCCACTTCGGAAATACAAATAAAACAAATTGTTTTGTTTGGTTACTTGGTAATACAAAAAAAAATTTCTAATAATTAAATTTTTTCTGATATTTAATTTTATCTATTATAACAGCTGCATTGTCCTTATCTGCTGGTAGGACAAAATTAAACAAAAAATACATTTATCACACACAAATCAAATCAGAAGAATGGAAACAATTTTTTAAAAATATCTACAGTGCAACTGAAAACAAGCGATAACATAGGAACAAAACGGGAAGACGAGAATCCCAACCAACATGCAAACTTGACCATCTTCTTAGAAAAATTAAAACAAATGGTGAGGAAACGAAAGGAAGAAGGGCACTAACACCAGGTATCTATGAAATAACGACACAAGAAAATATGTTCAAAACAATACTGTCATTGAATTTTCACAACAAATTCAATATGCTTTTCCTTGATGATTTTATAATTCTAAGTTTAACACATTGAGTGCCACCATGGTAACACAAAAATAGAGTTCCACAGGCCGAAGTTGTCAAAATGAAAAAACAAATATAAAACATGGTCTTAGTATGCCAGTTTAAGAAAAACCTGTAAAACCATCATTTGGTTGTTATATGACGTCATTTTTAGTATGTATCCGCATTGGATACACGCGGCCACAATAAGCCTATTTTATTATTGTGGCCGCGTGTATTCAACGCGGATCCATCCCTGGCAACACTGTAAGCAAACTGTAGATCACCTGTCCGACATTAGACAACTTAAACAATTTTGGCAGTAGGTTGTACGTTATCGTTACTTGTGGTGTGTTGTTTTCGTAAAAAGTATAGTTTGCTTGATAAATTACTCCTTTTGTGATAAAAAATGGCGTACGAGAAAAACATGAAAGATTACAAAACTGATGCAAGAAATGTTGTCTGAAGACGAAAATTCGCTTTTTGGAGATGTATACTTATCGGACCACTATTCTATGGAAGGTTTCGAAAGCAGTCACAGTGACTCGTCCTTTGAAAATGTGAAAAAACCCAAACGCAAGAGAGTTAGATCTGGCGGGATATCAGCTGAAGGTAAGTGTGAATGCTCTACTAATTTTAGTTACAAACGCGACCAATATTCATTATGTTGCGTATTTTGGTAGTGACTATGATTTACCCATTCCAATGACAAATGATTTTTACAGATATTTCTCTGCCAATTACGAGTAGAGAAAAACGTCTTCGATAACTTGCCGTACTTCTCTTGTATCGCACCACTCTTGGAAGTGCTTGTACGCTAACCGATACTTTATTCCGAACTTGGAGGGCCCCAAACGTGCTACTGCATCATTAGCCGCGGACTCAATTTCGTTTAGGTTTTCCATTTTCGCACTAAATTTGCACTTGCGGTTTGCAACAACAATAAGCTGTCTTTAATAATTGTCAAACACTGTCAAACAACTGTAACCAGGAGACGCAAATCCCACCGACGACTTAATTATTTTAATTACTAACATCTAGACGACATTGATAGTTGTCACAGTTAATTTCGAGTAAAAATAGCGTATTGAATTGTACTATTTACGGTTGAAAATTGCTACGTTTGAAGAAAAAATAGTATACTTTATTCGGCAAAGAAGCGACTTTTCTTGACTTGCCCTCTATTACGAGGCCTCACTTTGTTCGGCGCGTAATATCGGGCGCGTCAAGAAAAGTCATGCTTCTCCGCCTCGTAAAGTAATATACTATTATTTCTATTTCTTGGTTTAAAAATATGTCTAGGCAAAAATCATCGCAGTACCTGCAGGCCAACCACAGTTTTAGGTTTCGTATGCCACTACTTACAAGCACCCATAAAGATATTTAGACGGTATGTATCTGATGCGGGTGTATACGGCTCAAAATATACAAATAGATGTGCATCCACATTGGATACACGCGGCCACTAAATCAGTGTGGCGCGTGTGTCCATGTTGGATATATGTGGCACTGAACGTGTTAAGTAGGTAAATAAAAAAATAGAGGGAGTAAATGAAAATGCTGTTATGATACTAAAATAGAATAAAAATTAGTATCTTTTAGAATTTTGTTAAAAGAATGTAACTTCTTACCTTTGCGGCAATTTGTCTTTTTCCTTTAAAATAACGATACCGGCACCAATTAAACCAAGGACAGTAAAAGTGTAAGCATTTTTAAATTGTAATTGAGCTAAAATGCTCCTGTTAGGTGGCATAGTGTACTGATCGTTTACATTTGCCAGCTTCTCTTTCCATCCTTCTCCATACAATGTTAGACGATAGCGAGTGTGTTCTTTGACTTCTTCAGAAGGATGTTCTTCTTTTTTGACGTAGCCACAAGAAAAGATGTGAGGATACTGAAAAAGAATGAAACATGTTTACAAAGTACATAAAAACAAAACTCGATAGAACACAAGAGATGTAATAATAGCTAGCTTGAAACGCTCAAATGAAAAGTTTAAAAGTTTTCAAGCGAAATATGAACAACATATCTAACACAAATATGTACAGAATAAGAAACAAAGATGGAAAGATTACTACTGATCGAACCGAAATCCTCGATGTTGTCAAATGCCTTTATCGCGAAATGTATAAGAGCACTTACGAAAAAACAACATCAACCCTTGCTTAAAATGACAAACCAGGAATCCAAATTAATGCCAGAAATAACACCATACGAAGTTAAACCGACACTTTCATAAATAAAAAATAACAAATCTCCTTACGATAACGGAGTAGTGATCGAGGCGATCAAACTAGATAGAACTAAAATTATTCAGGCTTTGAAACTGCAACTTTTCACCGAATACATTTACCATTTAAGGAAAAACCCCTTCTCAAAGACAGATCTAAAAAACTACCGTTTTATCAGTTTGCTATCCAACACATTTTAACTTTTTGCAAAAATTATCAAAAAAAAGGCTGAAGACTAAGTGATACTTCTCTCAACCTAAAGAACAAGCTAGATTTAGATCGAGATACAGCACTAACAACCATTTACTAGTGATGAAGAACCTGATCGAGAAGTCTGCAGAATACATCAAACCGTTGGCACAGAAAGTAAGCATTCGATTCAATAAGCGAGCAGAAAATGTTTCTGTATACAGCAAGGGGTATGACAAGGAGTCAACGTCTCTCCAACTGTTCACGACGCTTTTAGAACATTCTTCTTGTAAGAAGGCAGATCTGAACAAGTATGGTATTAACATAAATGAAGAGAAGCTCAATCATTTATGATTGGCAGATGACGTCGTCTTTATAGCCTATCATATGGATGATGCAATAATTATGTTTAAAAAATTATATCACGCTTCCTTAGGGTTGCACTAAAGGTTAAAATGAATAAGATGCAAATAATGACTAATCTAATGCTAAATCGGCATATTGATGTTGATAGAAGGGATATTAAGCAGACTGCATCATTAAAGTACTTAGAACAGTGGTTCTCAACCAATGTTCCGCGGAACACTAGTGTTTCGCGAATTCCTTCCAAGTGTTCCGCGAAATACTCGCAATCCTACATACCATTTTGCTAAATTACTCTTTTCAAATAAATATTTTCAAATTTTAAAATAGCCACTTACGTACATTTTAATTTAATAAAATTCTGCAGCGTAAATGTTCATTTGCCCAACGTGACAACACCGCGTCGGCACAGTGACACACGTTGGATTTTATAAGCGCTGAGCGCTGAGCTCCGCAGTGGCCAGCACAGCCAATCTGAGTCACCCACGCCACAGTCTGCAACTGAATGTTGAATTTGTTACATTGCACAAACGTAATACGTGAAAATCGCTGTGTCAGTTTTTTTATGATAACGTTTACGTACGGCTTATCTATCAAAGGTAAGTAATTGCATATTTTATACAAAATGTGAAGCATTCATCCGCATTATTTTGTTTAGAGACGAACATAATTAATGATGATGAAGCGAGCACCAGCGGAGATACTGGAACTTTACGAAGTGGGGTTGATGACAAATCGAAGCGCAGCAAAAAAATGTTGAACCGGCAATATTTGGATGAATATTTGGATTATGGCTTTATTTGGACTGGGAAAGAAGACTGTCCAATTCCCATGTGTATTGTTTGTGGGCAGACACCCGCTAATAGCGCAATGGCTCCGGCTAAATTAAAACGCCATTTTACTACCAAACACGCTAGTGTAGCTTCAAAAAATAAAGATTATTTCAAGCGACTTTTGGAGACACAAGCTAAACAAGCGAAACAATTTGAAAGGTCGCTAACAATTTCCGACAAAGCACAAATAGCTTCATATAAGGTCGCCGAATTAATTGCTTTGAAACAGAAACCACACACTGTTGCAGAATCTCTTATATTACCAGCATGTTGTGAGATGGTCAAAATTATTATGTGCAACGATGCACAAAACGAAATACGGAAAATTCCTATGTCGGATGATACAATCAGAAGAAGGATTGTTGATTTATCTGCAGATATTGAGGAAAAAGTTACAAATAAACTTTACAAAAAAAACTTCGCATTGCAGGTGGACGAATCCACTGATATTAGTGGCAAAGCTCATTTATTAGGATTTATTCGATTTGTCGACGAAGGTGAAATAGTCAATCAGTTTTTATGCTGCAGAGAACTTACAGCACGTACAACAGGTCAGGATGTATTTGATTCCATAACGTCATATTTAGAGAAAAAAAATATATCATGGGACTTTTGCGTAGGAATTTGTACGGATGGTGCCCTTCCATGGTAGGCTCCATAAAAGGTTTTTGTACCCTTGCAAAAAAGCGAAATGAAAATATCATATCTACGCACTGTTTCTTGCATAGAGAATCTCTAATTTCAAAAACGCTACCAGCTACTTTGAAATCTGTATTAGACCAAGTGGTTAATGTCGTGAATTACATCAAATCAAGACCACTAAAAACCCGTCTTTTTAAACAACTCTGCATCTCAATGGAATCAAAGTATGAATGTTTGTTGCTGCACACCGAAGTTAGATGGTTGTCAAGGGGCAAAGTATTATGTCGAATTTATGAACTTAGAACGGAGCTGTTAACTTTTTTCCAAGAAGAAGGTAATGAGACACATTTACCACATATTTTGAAAATGATGCATGGTGCACTAAAGTGGCATATTTGGCCGATATTTTTAATTATTTAAATGGCGTTAACTCAAGTATGCAAGGCAAAAATGAAAATATTTTAACATCCACGGACAAGCTGTCAGCTTTCCAGAAAAAATTGTCATTTTGGAAGAAGCGCATTTTAGAGACAAATAAAATGGATATGTTTCCACTGCTTCAGAATGAAGGTGATGAAGATAAAGAACAAGAAATCACGCATATAGTTACAGAACACTTATCACTATTAGAGGAGATAATTGCCAGGTATTTTCCATCTCTGAACGTAGAAAAATATGACTGGATAAGAAGTCCTTTTAGCACAAGTAATACAGCCAATTTCCAGTTTTCTCTGAACCAAGAAGAAGAATTTATTTCGTTGTCATCTGATCGTACTCTGAAAATTAAGTTTTCAGAAGTGAATGTTCAAGAATTTTGGATCTTGGTCCAAGAGGAATATCCACTTCTTGCCAAAAAAGCGATTAGTATTTTAATACAGTTTTCAACGTCCTATTTATGTGAATTTGGGTTCTCATCTTTAACAAACATTAAAAATAAGAAACGGGAAAGGCTGCTAAACTTAGAACAAGAAATGAGAGTAGCTCTTTCCACATCAGGCCTGATATTGAGCAAATTTGCAAACGACACCAGGCACAAGTGTCTCACTAATTTGAAGTATTTACTCATATGATGTATTTTGAGAATTACGCTTTTGTTAATTTTAAAAATGTTTTTTGTTTTCATATTTTAAGTAAAATTTTACAAATTTGAGTACGTATAATAAAGTTTATTACAGAATTTATGTGCTAATCCTAATTTGTTTATCAATATATGCATGTTATTGCTTTGGTGTTCCGCAATTTTTTTTCGGTAATTAAAAGTGTTCCGTCGCCACAAAAAGGTTGAGAACCACTGACTTAGAATATTAATTTCGGTTGGGCAGTGATAACCAAATACGTGAGTTCTCACGTTGCATAGGATTAGTGTAGACAGCATTTGGTAAATTAAACAACCAAATACGTGAGTTCTCACGTTGCATAGGATTAGTCTAGACAGCGTTTGGTAAATTAAACTAACTATCAGACCTACCTATATGCCTCAATTGAAAAATCGTTTACCAGTGTGTATTAATTGTGCTCACTTATGTAGCGGAAACATGAACACTAAAAAAGGTAGTGAACAAAATTCGCGTGACTCAGAGGGTTACGGAACGGCAGATGTTGGGTGTTGCTATGAGAGACCGAATCCAGACGAACAAATGACGTTATCGAAAAAATCACATCGCTAAAATGAAATTAAGAGGGACACGCCGTGAGATTATCAAACAACCGAAGGAAAAACTTATTGTCGAGTGGAGACCAAGGTAAGGAGAACTATAGAGGAAGACCCATGTCCAGCACTGGACTCATACAAGTTGGTGATTGTGATGATGATAAAATATATATATAAATATATTTAATTTATATTAAGAATAAGTTAATAATGAAAATGTTCTGTACTTACTTCTATCAACAAATTTCTGGTGAAAGATAATTGGGCCATGACAAATAGCACTAAGAATAGAAAATTAAGCAAAAGCAATTTGAAGATACTCGAAATGGATAACATTACTTCAGCATGAATGGGCCTTATCGAGTCTTTTTCATATAAATATTTTTGAGTCTCATGCATTATCTTTCTATCGTGTCCTAGAAAGGGCATCAACCAACCCTTAGTTATTTCTGAATAGTGTGGAAGAATCCTAAAAGAGATGTTATAATTTTAGATTAATACAATTGTATTAGTTACTCTTTATACAGCTAATTTAATTCTCGCTAAAAACTATTGGTGAAATCTGTAATTTAGTATAACTATAGATACTTGCAACAAGCAACTACTCGATTATTCTAAACATGTGATTAAAAATTTGCGACAGTAAGCATAATAACAGTTACAAGCTGTTTCAAAAGTCGATTATTAAACATTCAAGCCATTTAAAATCAAGATCAATTTAGTCTTTTTCAGTTATTGCATATATTGCAGTTATTGATATTTGGCCATATCCATCGAAGTGATCACAAAATGGAGCGGTTGGTGGTCCAAGGAAGGCCTCAGACTCAACGCCAACGCGGAAGATCTCCACAACGATGGGCGGACATTACTAAAAAGCTTCTCAATAAACAGTATACTGAGGCAATACATATAACTGATGACCGCGACCAGTGGAGAAATATTATCAATCAAACTGTCCGTGCTGCTGAAGCCCAATTATGAACCACAACACATCTACTAAGATGTTAATGACTGTGATGATGATGACTAAGGCTAAAAATATCCAAGTAGCTGTTAGATGGATGCCTGGAAATTTCGATATTGGAGGAATAACGCGGTGAGTATAGCAGCTAAAGAAAGAACAGAGCAAAAGTGTCTTGAAACTCTTTTACCCATCTTATAAGAAATGTTAAACTGATATAATAAAGTAGACCCTAGATCAACACCTGGCAAGGAACGGCAGAACTGAATGTCGTTGGACTAAAGCAGGACGCGCACTGAATTGACTTAGCTCAACTGTACTGATGCTATTGCTCTACAAGTATTTAAATAGTTATCCGCGCACTGCTTCAGCTCGGCTAAGATATGATCGGTTGTCTTAGTCCGGCAATGGCACGATATACTGAAAGAGGCAAAAATTGCCGATAGCCGACAGTCTGCATCGAGAGTTTGAGTGCAGAATTTAGTATTTAGTTTTTTTATGGTGTGCCCAAGTTCTCAGTTATGTTTGACGAATTGTTAATTGAAACTGTGCTTAAATCTGGCAACAAATGGTAAAATGCCCTGTATGTTTCCCTTTTTAGATTTATTTTATGAATCTGAACCTTGGTTTTCTTTTTTCTATTTTATTACGTGCCAACGCTATCATAACATCCTCTTCAGAATCTGATGAAAAATTCATTTTTAAATCACTGATTCCGCATTACTAGACTGTCGTAAATATACTGAGCTAATGCGCGGTTCGATTGACTGTGCCGAACTGGGAAAAATGGTGTCAAGTCGAGCCTTGTCGATTCAGTGCGTGTCCTGCTTAACGAAGCCGTCGGTTCAGTCTTCTTAGGAAACCAACTAACTGCTTTAAGTAGAGAATTAGAAATTCTCGCGAGACACTAAAACATCTGTGGGCTTAGTCAATCAGCAATATGTCCCAGTTGTGGAGAGGAAAGAGACAGCCGAACACTTTGTGGACGAATATCCAGACTATGTTAACCCAAGGCAGCAATGATTCCACTCTCACCACTCAACCCATAAAAGAGGTAGTGACGCAAGCCTGAGTGACCTGCCCGAATTTATCAAACAGACCGGGCGTTGAAAATAATGGCCCATAACCCTTGGAGGAAAAAAATAAAATCCTAACAAAAATGGTTATCAATTGCAACAACTGCTTTAAAACAACTCATGGACTGGATATTTCTGACTAAACAGTTAAAAATCGATTAAGAAAAGCTAACTTGAAACTTAATAGACCTTTCCAAATACCAATTTTGGCAAAGAATTACAAAATAGTCATTTAAAATATAAACGAGATGCAGTGGATAATGATATCATTTTTTGACATCGACAAGCTTCGACTAAATTTCGCTTTGTAATATCTTACACTTTGATACTAAAGTACGACAGCTCCAAAGATTTTTAAATTGGATATATAATTTCGATCTTGATCAAAATGTATTTCCCTGTTACCTCCGAAACGCCAAAACAAATTGTTAACCAGTCCAACAATGAAATGATCAAACAATGTCTAGACCGAGCCTCTCTAGATAAAACTCTAACTCCTCCTAGCCGTACATTTTTTGCATTCACAGTACCAAGCTGAACGTTTAAGTTACACCTAACTCAGTAAAAGTGATTTTTTATTGTCGCTAACGTCTTGTTTATTTCCAAATGACCTCCAGATACACCGCCATGAAACTCCAGTAGCATCTCCAAAACTCTGTTGTTTTTCGGAAGGATAAGTTAAGCTTTGCTTTGGCTTTTCTCTCAGAGCTTTCCCATCTGTGGTGTAACACACCATAAATTATATCTAGCTTTTGTAACCCATTTGTAATGGTACCGTTGTGGCCAATAACTTAATTTATTTATCTATTTCATTATTGTCGAAAATCTAACACCAGATGGATCAACTGTTTCCTTGCTTTATAGTAAATAAAATAATGCAATGTCCTTATCGTAAATTGTTCTAAACGGAGAATAAAAAATTCCAATGATATTCTGACTGTCTCGACTCTTACACAATTAGATATTACTGATGTTTTTTGGCTTCCGTTTTGACACAGTTTATGAAGTTTTCCGGACAAGGTCGTCCACTAAAATGATCGGCATGGTGGTGTCAAGTACGTACACGATGCTTAATACCAAGGTCATACGTTCTTCCCTGTTGATTTTCTTGAGCCATCATAGATTGGCATTAATGTCTGCAGTAACCAAATTCTCTGTATATCTACCATCTCAAGTTAGTATCCGCATTTTTTTAAGTACTCCTTCGATGATAAATCTTCAAATTTCTACAATTCGTTTTCCTGCCGATTCCTGTGATGACCCAATTCACCAATATCTCAATAGTGGGCGGCTATTGCGACGTCTTTTCTCGGTTCTCTTCAAAACTTTTTTAATTTTGACAAGATCACCAAATTTATCACAGACATCGATGGTTGGACTTTGGCGGATCCTAACAAAAACTTCTAGAAGCGTTTTTGGCTACACCGTACGATCTGTAGTGATGTATGTTAGTAAATCGTGTTTGGGAAAGAAAAATAAAAGATAAGAACTAACAAAGAGCTCGATACAGTATATCCAGACGCTACTATAATAAAAGAAATAAAGTCCAGAAGACTTCAGTGAGCAGCAGGCCTAAGAAGACTTTCTAAAGAAAGAATAGTAAGACTGGTATGGGAAGAAGTCCCAACTGGAAGAAGACCACGACACGACAAGATATATAGCACGTGACCTTAAAACTATGGACGTGGAGAATTGGAGGATTGCTCCAGACAGAGAGGAATGGAGGTATGTCATCAAGTCGACGAAAATAGGCGAAAGGTTTTAATGCTCCAGAGTAACTAAGTAAGTAATTAAGTGTTTAGACCAATATGTGTGCTAATGTATAATTTTTAGGAGCTGCTGCATTTTGCTATCTCGTAGCATCTACTAAACGCTGGATAGTAAGTCGTACAGCTGCTAGTGTTGTTATTAATGGCATCTTGTATCTATACGCTTAGTTTGTACCACTTAAATGTTTAAAAATAAATTATTTTTATTCGATTATTTTCTAGTTTATTCTGATTTTCTACCTTTTAAACAATCAGATTTTCTTTAATTTTTCTGATTTTCTACCATTTGAATCATCAGAGCGTAAATAGCGTAGCGTAGATATCGAAGACTCGGTGGAAGGCAGACTTTTTATTTTGTCACAGGATTTATTGACACACCTTTCTAGTTCTTGGCATCTTGCAGCTTTAACGTGTTAAATCAATCACTATCACTGAATCCTACTTAACGTGAAAATTCCACTTCTATCACAAGGTTGCGTATTGAAAAAACTCTGATATTCAAAATTAAAACGTTTATTCAAAATACAATGTCAATTCCATGTCAGGTCCTGTATGTAGTATTGATTTAGTTTGAAATATTCTAATAACTTCTAATAAAGCATTGTTTATTAAGGTTTATTTTCGCTTTAGAAGGCTGTTTAGCCTGACGAGAGCATAATATTCAATTGCCGATAAAAGAAATTCCAAAACTGTAGAGTGGAGGCTGGAAACTAATGCACCTCCAAGTAACACTTGTGGTAGAGCTTTTGAATGAGGTTTCCTTGATTCATCTTTTAACAGTTTTTGTTAAATGCTCTGTCAAAGATAGTATTCTGTCCAATATCACGTCAAGGTACTTTGTGCTTTTGAGTTCTCTTCTGCAGAGTTTATTTTTAAAGTTAAAGCACACAGATATACTCCACCTAAACAAATATTTACCCATTATTGCCAAATTTACCATCAGCAAGCCTTATACAGATACTTAAACTGAGATAATCTTAGGATTTCTTGATCACAGAATACAATGAATGACAACATAGGCAACTCAAAAAAAGAAATTGTAAAGGTATCGAACGTAATCAAGTCAGTGAGAACAGATAAGAAGAGATAAGGTTTAATAAATCGATATAACGATGAAATTTTCAGTGCAATATTTTAAAAAAATAATTTTTAAGAATCCCTTTTAATATTACTTAGTTAGTTACTTACTTAACTGGTAGTGCTGGTTTAAACGCAGTATCTCTGTGTGGAATCAGCTTTTTTTTTAGTTCACTTAATGAACCCATTTTATGGCATTCATGAACAAGGCTTTGCCAAGTCCCATAACCACCAACGGATCCATTACTTTTACCTGTAGTCCATATTTCCACGTGACCAACCACTGAATTCAATACACCATCAAACTGTTGCTGCAGATACGTCGAACCCAAATCGGTGGGTACACAGTCGACACCACAGGCACTGACGATATAAATTCCTAAAAACTTTGTTATTATAAATCATATAACTAGATGTTGCTGGAAGCAGTAGTAAATGAACTAAAAAATGATAATCATATTTAACATCCCGTTACTAAGATGGCAAAATACGTACGTAGACTGCATAACGAAAAACTTGTAAAACTGGTTTGGGTCAAGGAAAAAAAGCCACTTAAACCCAAAAGTATGAACATATCACTTAAAATGGTCTTCTTCATGTACCATGTCCTTTCAGAACGTTGGTTACCATCATAGCTATCTTAATTTTATTCATTGACACCCTAAATAGCATGCTTGTATCAACACCATACCTACCAATCTCGCAAGTTCTTCAACCATGAGGTTCTTCTTCGTCCTGGACTGCGTTTGCCTGCTATTTTTCCTTGCATGATAGTTTGTAGCAACCTATATTTGGGACCTCTCATTACATGTCCGAAATACTCCAGCTTTCTCTGCTTGATGCTTTATGCTTTTTATGATCTCAGTAGCCTTGCTGAGACGTTCTAATATTGTGAAGTTTCGAATCTTCTCCACCAAGGAAACTTTTAAAATTCTTCTATACACCACATTTCGAAAGCCTCAAGGCAATTTAGATCGATTTTATTCACAGTCCAGGACTCGACACCATAAAGTAAGACCGAGAACACGTAGTAGCGAAGTAGGCGGATCCTCAATGCCAATTTTAGGTCTCTGTTACATAACTGACCTTAGACATCCTTCTAAAAGCAGCTCTAGCTGCCATCCAATCCAATTTCGCCGTGACTTTCTGCGTTACATTTAATTGCTGTCCAAGTAAACATTTAATCAACTTACTCAAGTTGTATATTTACATATATACGACGTTTAATGCTGTTGTTTATTTATTACGAGTATTTTGGTTTTCCGTATGTTCAGATCCAGACCTGCCTCCTTACAACTCTTAACGACACTATCAAGTAGTGTCTGCAGATCTTTTTGACTAAAAGCCAGAAGTACTGTATCGTCCGCATATCGCTAATTATTGATGAAAAATGATTGATCATTAAAATGGTCGATTTATACATATCCGTGCCGTATCCGTTTCATGTTATGACAGTGCCAAGCAAAAAAATAATATTGTACTCTTATTAGTATATTAATTTATACATTGGCGTTTTCCTGACGGGCCGTCCGTGTCCGGTCTGAAATTAATCCCAAACGATATTTTTGTTTTCGGCACTGGCGAAGCACGGAAATGACAAGGACTGTACGGAACATGAATGTTGGTTAACCGACAAGCAGCAGATGTTGTGCGGTTAGTATGTATGCTTGTTTCATATCTTCTTTGTTCTCGACCTTTTCTGCTCTTGCTGAAAGTGTTCTATTAACAACGTTTTTCTCAACATTCCAACCATTTTAGAGCTGTTCGTTTACTTACATTTGGATTATTCTCCACAGAATCTACAATGTCGTCTTCTATATTTATTTGAGGAAGACTTCTTGTTCTTTCCCTATTTTTGTTTTTCAGTACAACAGAAACCGTTTCTAATATTCTTTGAGAAATAGTCACAAAAGTTCGAGCAGTAGAAGTTTGCCTTTTGAGATATCGATGCACATAAATTTGAACAGCTAAATTACTGTTACACTGTGCTTTAACGTAAATATGCAACATGTGGCACTCACGAATCGAAAACATTTTCGCGGTAACAATAAACACGTTTGTTCCAAACTATCCGTTTACTTTTCGGGAACACCCTGTATAATACTATAATATTATTCTTCTGTAAATGTTGTATATCATGTCTGATAAATGTTGTATCCAAAAAATTAGAAATACTAAAGAGTAAATACTAAAAATACCTTTTTCTTTGGCGGCAGCGCCGTATTTTTCTGGAAGTGAATCTATAAAACTAGGCTCACCACTTACATCTAAATGGTGAGTTCCAGCTTTAATGCACGCTTCTACTACCTGAAATCCCATCAATCTGTATGGTCCACAACAATTTAGAAGGACTTTTGTTTTTTGAGCCATTTCATTTAAAGATTTCTGATCTTTTATATCGGCAACTACAACTGGGATTTTGGATAAATCTTCACCTAAAAAATATAAAAAATTAATAGTAACATCCACAATCTTACGTATCATAAATCGGACTATCGTATCTATTTCGAACATCAAATTTTGTATTACGAGTAGATACCTCTTACTCCGATTCATCATAATACCATGTTCCTCAGTCATATCTTAAATACTTGACGAAATAGAATAAGAAGTTCTTCGTGTTGACTCTATTACGCGTTTTGGTACAACCATAAATGTAATTTTTTTTTAAATCATGAATGTGTTGCTTGTGTGAGTCCATTTCAAATAGGTAAAGAAATAATAAATAAAACTTACTCACAATCAATTTAATTTAACTATTCAGACGACCGGTTTCGCTTTTTACAATATGCAAAGCATCTTCAGGTCTCGATACAAAGTTAACTAAATGATGCCGGTACTCTATTATCTATCTATAACACACATTTCATAAATATATCTCTCGAATAAGTATAAATAACTTTTAAATAATACAATGGTATATAACATCACTTTCATTTAACAAACAATTACACACCTATCTCTACATTCATTGGATCAAATCTGTCTCCTCAAGAACTTCCCGTTTACTGTCAAACAACTACAATAGCAGACTTAAGTTCTCCATTCAACAATACATGATAGTTTCAACCATGTTCTACCATCCATCAATTAATAGAGTACCGGCATCATTTATTTAACTTTGTATCGAGACCTGAAGATGCTTTGCATATTGTAGAAAGCGAAACCGGTCGTCTGAATAGTTAAATTAAATTGATTGTAAGTCTTATTTATTATTTCTTTACCTATTTGTAATTTTTTTTATTTGATTTGATTTTAAAAATGTTATTATTCGTAGATAATATTGAAAAGACTCAGGTAGGTCGCTGCACAAGAACATCTAATCACGAAATAACCTTAACTTTAATGTGAAATTTCTGACGTGTCTTTATCAATAAAACAATTTTTTTGCGGTGTTTCACATATTCCGTAGAAAAGCTTAAATAGAATTTCTCGTCAAATATACACGAACTCTTCCAGAACTGTACCAATGATAATGATGCAAGTTTATTAAACTACTACTACTTGTATTGTATTGTAACCTCGGAAACTTTTTGAATGGTGCTAGAAAGGTCACCAATGGAGACACTGCGGACGACAGCCAGATAGTTGGTGGAGAGGGAGTCGTGGGTTCGAAACTAGCTTTTGGAACCAGGAATGGGTCCAACGGACGCAATAAGAAAAGATAGGACAGGATAAGATATATTAGAAACGATACAGAAATAAACAAAAAATAGGTGGGTAAAATTATCAAAGATAAGATAAGAGAGAAACAGGGCGCCACTTAACTTTTTGGGGTTTAAGGAGAAAATTAAGAAACAGAAAAGAAAAGAGATAAGGAAAAATATTTAGGTTCTGAGACCAAATCCCAGAAAAAATATCAACAGTTACTAATTAAATAAATTTGATCAACACTCTACATAAAGAAATAATACATATATTAGGTGGACTCCGTCCACCTACTTACCTACGAAACTAAATCAGCCTGATCTTTCTCCTGGTCGAAGGTACAGTAATAATTGACGGTAAAAAGCAAATATTCAGAGTTATTATTATATCAGGAAACTTGTTAGGAGTCGAAAAAAATTGATACATAAAGCAAAAACAATATATTCAACAACACAATGATGAAGGCGGCTGAATGTATACAAAAGTAATAAAAAATTCACGATCAATTGATCAATGATTGTTTACATATAGAAATTAACAGTATTATAATAAGGAAATACCTTTACAAATACAATATAATGAAATCAAACACAGTTTAAGTTATCAGCGAAGAGAGTCTGATTGCATATAAAAATATTCCACTTAAGTTAATTAAAGAAAGTCTCTCTTTGCTGTTTAATGGGCATATTTTGAGATACTGGGTACAGTAAATAAAAAAATGAATAACAAATAACACAAACTTAATAAAAGTTAATGTCAAAGAACACGACACGATTACAAAAATAAAACTTTAACCAACCCGCACTTGGTCGCAGTTAATTATTTGTTTCGCATTATTATTTAATGATAAACTGAGACTTAACTGTTCATAATTTAAATGTTCTTAAAAACTGATTGAAAGTTCATATGTAATTATTAAATGTTCCTTGAATCCAATAGTTAAATCTGTAGTTAACCTTAACTACAGGTGTAGAAATAGATGAACTTAGATTCGTCCAGATAATTGAAAATGATATGATACCATACCATATTAATCGCCCAGATAATTGAACATACTATGATTATGATAGTATTCACCCAGATAATTAAAGATACTATGATTATGATAACTTACTGTAATTCTCGATGGCTGCTACACTAATTCACTGAAGCTAATAGACTTTACTTGTATTAGGTACTGAAGTTATTTAAATTAAAAGATACTTTATAACTATATTTAATGTAATATAGTATTAGATTTAGAAACTCAAACTTTTAAGTGTATACACACTAAAAAATGCACAGAGACGGTACGATATGGCGAGTGTTCTAACGCAAAGACTGCCCCACTAGAAGTGAGTTGGTTCCTCTCCAAATTTACCAAACTACCCAAGAAAAGGTGAGGGTATCTCCTACCTAAAAATTATATATATTCCTTCTAGTTAGGAAGGGGATGAAATATAAATCCTCTGGATTAGATTTTTACAGAAAAATTACTACCAACGTGCGCTCGACGATAATTAACAAATCTATCAAAGGCCCGCTTGAAAACCGGAAAAGGATTAACTAAGGATTAAACAAAACGGCGGGTTTAATAAGTTGGCTCTTCCTTATTTTGAGGTAGTTTCCAATAAAATTTAACAACCCATTTGCGAATACGACCATTGGCGTATCTGCAACCGGGGTAAAGGGATTAAAAATAATTTCATATTTCAATTATAAAAAAAATGTTACAGTAGAGCTAAAGAATATGAAATACCGCTAGCATTAACCTTCATATATTTGAAAAAGGCTTTCGATTCTATATATCCCAAGGCAGTAAAAGAAGCTTTAACCAATCAAGGCATTGACAAACCATACATAGAGACTAGCAAATATATACAGACAGGAAAAGGTAAAGTAAAGATTTATGAAATTACTCCAGAATTTCCCACTACCAGAGGAGTCCGACAAGGAAACGCAATATCACTAAAGCTCTTCGCTTTAACTGTAAAAAATATATTCACCAAAACAAACTGGCAGCTCAAAGACGTATTCATATCCATAGACGAGAATACCTCAGCCATCTAAGATTGGCAGACAACAATTTGATTGCTAATAATCCCACAGAACTACAAGAACTGATAAGAGACCTAAATGCAGCTACAATAGAGTTTACCTAAAAATGAATTTGATAAAAACAAAAACCATGTATAACAAACTACGGGACGTCGAAGATATAATAATAAACAACACTGCACTTGAGACAGTAGATGAGTATGTATACTTGGAACAATTAATACATAAATATGGCTCCTTGCTTTCAAAAATATACAGAATAATGAAACTGACTATTACATCTTTTGGTAAAAATGCAGTTATATTCAAATCCAGCATGCCACTTCACCTGAAGAAAAGCATTCGATCACCGTATGCTCCCAACAGAGATAATACGAAACTCAAAGTCACTCAAAGGTCAATGGAGCGATGCATGCTAGGTATCAAGATAGATCAAAGACAGATCAAAAAAGGATGGAATGGATCAGACAGAAAACCAAGGTCACTGATGTAATCCACAGAACTAAATCTTTAAAATGGCAGTAACAGTTAGCGAGAAGAACTGATAATAGATGGTCCACTAGAATTACACTGTGGTATCCAAGTAGTGTCAAGAGATCAAGAAGACGTCTAAATTTAAAAGAGGACTGTATCATACGGTTGTACAAGCCGGAACAATATGGCGCAGAAAAGCGAATATTGGACAATCGTGGGCAGAAATAATGTACGCTTAATGTAATGTAATATACGCTTTTATCAAATATTATTTAAAAGAAAAGATGCCTTACCTATATGTAAACCTTCATTCTTTAAGACTGCTTTAAGTTTCGTCTCTGAACGTCCAGAAATACCCCAAGTTAACTTTTTCTCTTTCGCAAATTTGTGAAGATATCGAATAGCATGTAGACCTGTTGTCCCTGTTGCTCCAAATAGCAGAAGATCTAGACGTTTATCAGCCATACCTTAAAAAACTGTTATTCTTTATTAGTGCAAAATATCGTTTAGTTTATTAAATCGGTAATATAAAAAAACATTGGTAACGTAACTAAATGTAACTCGTTGATGTGAGGTAAATGCACCAATACATGGCCCTTTACCAGTTGATGACACCTTCCTGTTTATATTAAAATAATAAAGAAACAAAGAAACTAATACTTTATAGATAGTTTCCTATAAACTCAGATATTTCTTGACATCTTCCCTAACTAATACCGTTGCAACAAACTTGGCAACAGTGTACGTCTAGGTTATACACGTTAACATATTTACCGCCACTACATCGTATTAAATTTTTAATAGAATCTTAGTGAATATGCTTAGGAGGTAAGTTTATACAATAGGGTTTAATACTTTTTGTTTTTACTGGAATTCATACTTATTAATTTCCTGTGATATAAAGTGTATGTAAATCAATATTTGAATTTTAAATGGAATTTTAAACTACAAATTCTAAAAGATGTAAGGGATCAACTACTGGAACAAAATAAATAGCATTGCTCCAGTAGTTGACAATCCCTGTCATCTACTGGAACAAAGCAAAATTTTTATATTCTTGTTTCATTTGCCATTTCTGTTAAAATATATTGTACTAAAGATACAATTTCCTATGTATATAATGTATATATATATATATATATATATAATATATATATATATAATATATATATATATATATATATATATCTATATATATATATATATACATGACCCGATATTGCTTTTTATTTTGTAACAAATATTTCATATTATTGTTATGTTTTTATTAATTCTAATTTATTGTTCTTATTTTAATTTACTAAAACACGATAATTTATATCAATTTATTAAACCACTCTACAACAATTTATTTTCGACTAATGATTATATAATTTATTTATACGTGCGTTACATTTTAAAAACGCGACTCGATTTATCTTCTCTGATTGACTTCTTTCAATGAAAATCATGTTATATACCCATACAGCTGTTAGACTAGAAGGATGTCGACCCTTGGAGAAAATACTGGAAGGCTACGGCAGGTTTTTCGTTCAACGTATTTCCGGAACATTCGAATGGACCGGTTCTTTTTTTTATTACTTGAATTTCCGCTAGCTAGTCGAAAGTTGTAAAACAAATTAGTGAATAAACAACAGATTTACGGGTTTTTAATATGACTCATATTTTTTACGTAACATTATCATATTTTACTGTTATTTTCAAATCTTGAAAGTCAAGAAATCCATTTGTTCATCGAAATGAATGCATAACTACCTACATTTACTTACTTACATATTTTTTACAGATATGGCTACAACAAAAACTTTTCAATACCCTGAAATTTCAATGTGCCCTTAATGCGGTAAGAAATGTTGTTAGTTAAAACAGCTGCAAAACAATTCAATGTGCCAAAAACCACCTTGCTTTATAAATTCAAAGGTGTTAACCCGAAAGCAAGAAAATGGACCTATCACGTTATTTTCAAAAAGTGAAAAAGTTTAGTCCCACCAATGATAATTTTTCGGCATAAAAGAATACCTTCAGATCTTTCTGAAACCATTCCGAAGTATTGGGAAATTGGTGTGTCCGAAAACGGGTGGATGACATCAGATACTTTTTATTATTACATGGCCAATGTGTTTTTTCCATGGTCAATCCAACATGTTTCATTTCCTATTGTATTTTTTGTCGATGGGCATGCTTCCCATATATCCTTTCATCTCAGTAAATTTTGCTCAGAAAAAAATATAATTCTGATTGCTTTGTATCCGAACGCTACCCATTTACTACAGTCTAAGGACGTAGCCATATTTCGCACGTTAAAAATATGGTTGTAAGGAGTAAGTAAGTTCTTGGAGGTTCAAAAATCAACACGAGTTATTAAGAAGACGGTATTTTGCTCCACGATTAGATGCGACAATAAAAGATCGCATAGCTCCGAAAATTCTAGAAAATGGATTCAAAAAATGCGGTATTTTTTCGTAAAATCGCAAAGTTACTAATGATTTTTCTCCAACAATGAAGATCACACTTATTTACATAAACAGCAAAGTCAAAATAGTCTGAAAACTCCGAATAAAAGAAAAAAATAATGATTTTATTGAATCTTTTATAGAGACAGATAAACTTTATTGAATAATTACCATATAAATGTACCCAGTACAAAAACTGATCCAAAACGTTCCTAGTCCATTCAAGCGAGCACTCTTATGGCCAGAGCCAAAACCAGAATTAAGAAAAAATAAAGAAAAAATACCAAGTGTAGTGACAAGTCAAATGTGGCAGGAGTATAATCGAAAAAAAAACAGAAAAAAAGTTAAAATTGAAGCTGAAAAACTAGAAAGAAAAAGAAAGCAAGAAACCAAGAAAAAAGACAGAAGCCAACAAAAAAAATTGATAGCAAAACGAAAACCTACTTCTGCGAATGTGTCATTAGATTTAAAGGAAAACATTAAAAATTCATCTATAAAAAAAGCCCAAAATTAATGATTACAGCTGTCAGAAAACAGGAGTATTTGATTTCTGCAATGACTCAAAGTGGTAGAACAGGATGGCGCTGGCCAGATACAAAAGACCAAATATGGTATGATGAAAAAGATGTAGTTAGAATTATAGATTCGCCGAAGGTTAAAAATTCCAGAGATATATTCCACATAGAAGACATGAATACGTTTACAGAATTCACCGAAAATTTAATTTTCCCTGATTAACATTTAACTTTCAGTTTTTGTCTACAATAATTTCTTCAATTTGTTATATTATGTTCGTAATGCCAAACAGGACCCCCGATTACCATTGAAGAAGTCACGTCAGCTATTAAAAGAACTAAAGATGGTAAAGCGGTAGGGCCTGACGAGTTTTGTGCAAAATTCCTTAAACTTATGGATGAACAGGGAATAAAATGGATAACAACTGTATTCAACAATATATACGTAACTGGAAAAATACCCCAAAGCTGGTTATAGTCGACCTTCGTGACCATACCAAAAAAAGTAAATGCCAAGACATGCGAAGACTACAGAACAATTAGCCTAATGAGCCACTTACTTAAAACGTTTTTGAAAGTGATACACGGCAGAATATATGAGAAATGCGAAGAAACAAGTATGTATCATGGACGTAGTTTGGATTCCGCGATTCCTTAGGCACCCGAAAGGCTCTATTCGCTGTCCAAGTGCTTATGCAAAGATGCAGGGATGTTAACTGCGATGAGTATATTTGTTTTATCGACTACAAAAAGGCATTTGATAGAGTAAAACATAATAAACTTATAAACATCTTGAAAGAAGTGGGTTTAGATGATAGGGACTTGAGAATCATCTATAATTTATATTACAACCAAACAGCCAATATTAAAGTGGATGATCAATTGACAGAGGCAGTCTCCATAGATAAAGGAGTGAGGCAAGGATGCATTCTGTCCCCGGTGTTATTTAATAATACTCTGAATATATCTTCGAGCAAGCGCTGGGAAAACTACAAGAAGGCGTATTAGTCAACAGCATGCGTCTAAACAACATTAGATATGCCGACGACGCAGTAGTTTTTGCAGATAGTCTGGACGGTTTGCAAAGAATAATGTCGCGTATATCACATATATCACGCGTATATCTATAGAAAGTGCGAGACAATCATCGGAGACGATCAGTTTGGATTCAGAGCCGGCATGGGAACGAGAGAAGCCCTGTTCAGTTTACTAGTTCTCGCCCAAAAATGCTACGACCAACAGAAAGATATATTTATATGCTTTATAGACTTCGAAAAAGCATTTGATAGAGTAAAACATGACCTACTATTAGAACGTTTGCAAGAAGTCGGTTTGGATGGAAAAGACATCAAATTCTTAAAAAACTTGTACTGGAACCAAAAAGCCAGAGTTAGGATCGAAGGTTCCACATCCGCAGAAGTAGAAATTAGGAGGGGAGTTAGACAGGGATGTGTTCTGTCGCCTCTGCTGTTTAATCTTTACTCCGAGTTTCTATTTAAAGAAGCATTGGAGGATTCCAAGGATGGAGTCAAGGTGAATGGCGTAAATATCAACAGTATCAGATACGCCGATGATACAGTGTTAATTGCGGATTCCGACTCAGGTCTACAACGACTCATCGACAAGACCAACTCGACCTGTGAGCAATTTGGTATGAAAATAAACATTAAAAAAACCAAAGTGATGTCAATCCGAAAAAACCAAAACGTACCTCAACCTTGCACAATAAATGGGCACATCTTAGAACAGGTCAATAGATTTAAGTACCTGGATGTTGGATCGATAGCAGCCTAAATCCTGATCAAGAAATAAGATCGAGAATAGAACAGGCTAGAAAATCTTTCGAAAAAATAAAAAAACTGCTTTGTGATTCTCGAATAAAACTCGAAATTCGACTACGTTTATCAAAATGCTACGTCTGGTCGACTCTTCTATATGCAGTTGAAACGTGGACCCTTAAAACATCAACCGTAAATAAATTGGAGGCCTTTGAAATGTGGATCTACCGGAGAATACTCAAAATTTCATGGACATCGCATACCTCAAACGAAGAAGTGCTGCATAGAATAGGCAAGGAAAGAGAACTTTTTTAACACAGTAAAAGTAAGAAAAACATCATACCTAGGCCACATACTGAGAAATAATAAGTACCAATATGCCCAACTTATAGTGAAAGGAAAAAATCGAGGGAAAGAGAGGCCTAGGAAGGAAAAGACTATCATGGCTCAGAAACATCCGACAATGGACAGGGCTAAATTTTGAACAGCTAATAAGAACAGCTGAAGATAGAGAAGAGTTTATAAATTGTAGTAGCCAACCTCCATTGAGGAGAGGGCACTTTAAGAAGAAGAAGATATCACATATAAGTAGAGAACACGGACTTGATCTTAATACGAAGAAAACAAAGTACACGGTAGTCAGTAAGCGCGAAATATTAAATACACAGCTTTTGGTTAACCAACATCCAATTGACAGAGTGGACAGCTACACATACCTTTG